TGTAATAGTAACACATTTATAATTAAATAATATAAATAAAGAAAGTCAAACTTTTGTTATTTATAATGCTTTAACCGTTTTTATATTTTATTCTATAAAATAGAGAATTAGGAAGAAAAGAAAAATCTCAACATTTCTACCTATTAACAATAAATTTTTCAAGAATTCTTCGAATTAAAAATCTCTATCTTTTTTTTTACTTTGTCATTTTCAAGAATCTTCTAAAAACATTCAAAATCTCATTTTTTTCATTTTTAAAATATCTCTTAAATATGTTTTTATTATTGTGAAAAGTCTAAAAAACTAATACGTATGTTTGAAATGATTATTTTGATAATTTTTTGAAACAAATAAGTCTTTAGACATTTCAAAACTTGTTAAATAACTTCTTTGACTTTTTAAAACCTGCTAGATACATTTTTATAACCTACATAACTAGTTAATGTGGTAAAATAATGAAAAAATTCTAAAAATGAAACAAATATACCAAAAATTACTTATATTTTAAAAAGATTACTGATGAAATTTATTTTAGTTAAAAATAAAATATATTCATTCAGTGTTTTTTTAAATTAAAATTAATAAAAAAAATTTAAAAATGATTACAGATTAAATTTATTTTAATTAAAAATAAAAATATATTCCGTTGGTGATTTTTCAAATTAAAAAAAAAAATTAATTCGATTAAACTACTGACGGACTAACGTTAAAATTTAACTAAATACATAATTATTTAAAATTCGTCGCTATAGATTATTGGTATATATGCATGGTTTACTTGCATCTAACTGATGACTAACTTGACCACCGTTAAGCGTTTTAACACAGTAACATGTTAATAAATGTGAAAGATCGTGCTTGAATCTTGTCGATGATATCAATTCACCGACAAATTAGTGACGAATTTTAATTAATTAGGTATTTAATGAATTTTATTGTTAATCCGTCAATTTAATCAAATTACTTTCTATTTTTTTAATTTAAAAAATCATCAACATAATATATTTTATTTTTTAATTAAAATAAATTTTATCAGTAAAAAATAAAATAAATTTAATCAGTAATCTTTTTTTAATTTTTCTAATTTAAAAAATCATTGATGCAATATATTTTATTTTTATTAAAATAAACTTTATCAGTAATCTTTTTTTAAATGTAAGTACTTGTTTATAAATGTAAATATTTTTTTTGATGTATTTGTTTCATTTTATAGATATAAATATATTTTTGGTTAAAAAATGTTTAGAAACTTAATCATTCAAAATATAAAAGTTTATTAACTGTTTTTCAGACTTATTATATTATTTTACAACATTAACAAGTTGTATAGGTAATAAGAATGTATCTAACCAGTTTTAAAAAGTCGAAGAAGTTATTTAATAGGTTTTATAATGTCAAATGACTTATTTATTCTAAAAATTATCTAAAGATTTGATCATTTCAAACATTAAATTCTATTGAGTTTTTCGAAATTTTCCCTTTATTATTTTAACTTTCGCAATAAATTGAAGGCATCCGAGGCAACACAACTAGCGACAAGAATATGCGTACACCGATGACTATTCCGACAGTTGATCTCTCACCTTTCTTCATCGCCGGAGATGAGTCTGGCCGGGAAAAGGCCAAGGAATCGATAACCAAAGCCTGTACCGACTACGGGTTCTTTCAGATAGTGAACCATGGTGTCCCACTTGATCTCTGATGAAGCAAGCAATGGATCTGTGCAAAACATTTTTCAGTTACTCAGATGAGATCAAACGGAAGTGTAGTTCGAATCCAGGTGCACCACTTCCCGCCGGCTACAACAAGCAGCCTGAGCAGTCACCGGATAAAAACGAATACCTGCTGATGTTCCCACCTGAATCGGTGTTCAACATCCTCCCCAATAATCCACTTCATTTCAGGTAAAAATCCACCTCATATTAGAATTGATACAATACGATAGAAATTGGGATTTCATGGTGACAATGCGGTATCCTCTGGCGACTGAAACAGATAACAATGGCATATCCGGACATGAAGATGGAAACTTGATCACCATCATCCTCCGGGAAGACGCCGGAGGTTTAGAGGTATGCAAGGATGGAGATTGGATTCTGGTGATTCCCACCGTGGGCACATTGGTGGTCAATTTAAGCGACGTTATTCAGGTACACATCATATCTTATGCAAATTAACAGAATTTCTTGTGTTGAAGTCCCATAGAGGTTAGGCTTGCACCATTTCTCGTCAATATACGTCGGAACCTTTCTTCTCTCCTGAAAGGCTCTTTTGGATAATCATCTAATGAGGTTCTCCATATTCTCACATCATCCAATGTCAAAGTCTACCACTCTAGGGACTCAACACCCCGGGGCAAACCGTACTTGTCTAGCCCCCTCTCGACACCAATTTCGGACAATCTATTCTCATCTAGCCTCTGGTAGAGTTCCACATAGGCTAAACTTGAATCACTTTTAGATCTTTATCACAAGACTGTAAGGGCGATATTTTTACAGGTACTGAGCAATAAGAAATTCAAAAGTGCGACACATAGGGTGGTGAGACCGAAGGTAAGAAGCCGTCATTCGTATGTATTCTTCTATAGCATGCAAGGAGAGAAATGGGTGGAGTCATTGCCAAACTTCACTCAAGAAATGGGAGAGAAAGCCAAGTACAGAGGGTTTTGTTATAAGGATTATCAGGCTTTGAGGATGAAAAACAAGACTCACCCACCATCGACACCCCAAGAAATCATCCGCATTCAGCACTTTGAAATTTAACAAAATAAGGTTGTTTGTTTTCAGTATGGTTATAATTTAGTAATAAGCTTTCTAATGATGTGAAGAAATTTCATTTTCGATAAACGGGAATATATGTCGTTTAGGAATTAATATAAATCATATCCCGCTTACCAAACGCACCCTAAGGAAGTAAAAGGGCCTGGAGGCGATCAACAATCCAAATGGTCAAGCCATGATGGGATAAAACCCTCAATAGAGCAAAAACCTGACTTTACAACAAACCCCAAAAGGCATCTTCAGGATGAGGTCTAACAATATGGGGAAAACTTGAATTGTGAAGGACTGTTACCATTCTTATCATGAGGGGTGCTCAAAAAACCGTTCAACCCAACCAACCCAACCTGAAAAACCCCAAAAAAGATCAACCCAAGGTAACCCATCATATAATCGATACAAAATTAGGACAAACCGAATCTATTGGCTTGAAATTGGGTTAGGCCCAAAGTAACCCGACAACCAGATAATGCGATGAAAGTTTTAACTACTTCTCTAAAATTATTTGTATTTCACTCTAATATGTATAGGTTACCAAAAACGACTCGGCAACAACGAGCAATGAAACTCATAACTCATAAGAGAACATTATTGGAAAGTTATATGTAATACCTAAATATTTGATGAACTCGTATATTCTCTTGAATGATTGATCGTATTTCAAAAGGAAGGTTTACTTTCTTTTTATGTTCCCAATGTTGATTTTACTTTGTTTAAACACAACCCAACCAACTCGAACAAGTTGGGTTGGGTTGAAATTTTTTAAACCGCCAACATTGGATTGGATTGTTCAAATGCCTTCAATCCGATCAACCCAACCCAAGAGCATCCCTATCATCTATCCTTACTCTTAAGACTCCCTACTAGCTTTACTCTCTAACCAAACAAAACTGACCCGATAGATCCTACTCAAAAGTAGGATCTTGGGGGTGAGATGTAGGCAGATGGCAGACCTGACCTCTGGCGGTTGTTTACGTGAAAACCCCAGACTTGTGCAAGAGTATAAGCAAATAGGTCGACTCTGTAACTAATGCTAAATATCTTGTTGGGTCCAAATTAACAGGTCCCCAAACCCGCTGTTTGCATGCAAGTAGCCAGACCGAACCTCCACCGTCAGATACCATGACATAAACCACAAAATGGATGATACGCTCTATTGACATATGTATGTAATTAATTAAAAGTAGACCCAATTTACAAGAAGTAAACAATATTAAGTGCACACTTAAAAATTTGAGAAACCTGTCCTACAACATGGTTAATAACAGAGTTTAGCCAACATACCATACTTGTATGACAATCAACAGACACACAAGCTCCCCATGATGTCGAAAGGTCAGTATCTGTGATCATCTTCAGAAAACAAGCTGCTACCTCTAAACCTGACTTCCCTATCAGACTGCATGAAAGAAACAAGGGGGGAGATAGTTATATCAAAACAAACAAGAATCTTTTGCGTGCATGTGAGAGGGGGAGATGATGCATACCCGATGAATTATTTCCTGAAATGCATCTGGTCCATGTTCTTGAATGTATTTCTCAGCGGCAACTAGGATGTCATCTGGTTTACTGAACACATCTTTCTTTCTAGGGACGTACCAGATGTTAATAGTCTGCTTTCCCGTGTAAAAAGGTCTAACATATTGCTCGTAAACATATGCCGCACCACTGAAGTATGGTATCACCAACCAGCATGTTACAATCAGCTTTGCATATGACCAGAATGGGATCCTGCCAACAAGTACTGCCAGTAAATACTATTTTCCTATAGGCTATAACAAACAACAAATAAGTAAAGCAATAAAGTAGACTCCAGTTTGGGGGCAGACAAAATAATAGTATTTAAGTTCTAAATCTTTTCTAGTTTACTTGCTAATTGTGGAAAGGGTAAGAAGTAGCATAACACTTGGATTGCATAAGATGCAGCAAAAAGCTAGCAGTTGAAGAAAGTGGAAGTTGTTCTCATGAAAATGAGAAGGAACCAAGAAGTTTGTGATTCTTTAACAGCAAAGATAGGAGGTTCATGCAGCACACGAAATATAGGAGAAATAAGAAAAGTGAGCATATAGTTTATAGGATATGAATTCTGCCCCTGTTTTAAAAGAGAACCAAGAAAATGCCTGTGAGCAATTAACTGCAGTAGTTCTAAATAGCACCTAAAGTAGAAAGTAAACAGTATGAATCATACAGAAAGAAATATTAAGCTCACGGTTAATAGGTCGAAGATCTATGAGCAGATTATCTACAAAGCACTCCCCCAGTCCAAAGATTAAATAAGCCTTTTGGCTTTTCGGGTTGTCCATAAAACTGAATGTCCATTTTGTTTTTCTAACTTTGAATCAATATTACTGTCTTTTCTTGCAGTTCTTTTTGTTTAACTAAAAAGTTAACTTCTTTCGGACAGAGGAAATACATGAAAAAAGTGATTTGGTTTTGGGATAATTCAATGAAGTTGATTTCCATAGCACCACCAGAAAACAATAAAGAGACTCCCCTCCAAAAATCTCAAAACACAAATAACTAAAATCCAATATCCCAAATCAATGGGGCCATAAGGTACTCAAGATTGGCTCCAAGAAAGTAATTTGTAGAATACCATATAAAGCAAACAACATTACCATTCAATGAGCTTAGCAAAGGTTAGCTCGAAGAGAGTAATCATAGAATACAAAACCCAATATGTAAGCCATTGCTGATCATCCAGCGGAGATTTAGTCTCTATTGCCCGAATCGAGGCATATCTGTTAGAGAGAGAGAAAAAAAACAGTTTGATCATTCACTGATTAAAGCATAAAACGAAACTAATTAATTTAAAGAGTTGAAACAGAATGATGAAGAGCGTCCAGAATTGAACTTACAGAGGATAAGCCAAACTAACCACCGGCCTGCAGGACCAAATACAGAAACCCAAATGAGATTCATCACAAGATTAAGCATTTGCAAAGAAAAAAAGATAGAAGAAAGAAATCTGGATTCAGTTAAAGGAGAATATGAGGTTACATAGAACTCATGATTTGGCAATCACCCAAATGATTTAATCCTCTTAGGCTAATTGTTAGCGATGGTAAAGTAAAAAAGGTGATAAACCCTAGCAGTAGCAGGTATGAAATAACAAGTAATTTGAATGGAAAAGAGGAAACCCTGCAAGAAGATCGAAGTTTTGAGCGATGAGTTTGAGTAAATTTCCAGCTCCAGATCCCATCTTCAATCAAGAATCTTTATCAAATCGGCGAATACAACAGATATCAATCAAACTGTGGTTTGGCTTCAAGAGTTGAGCTGAGAGAGAAAAAGAAGAAAGCACTTTTTGCATATGTTTCCTTTTCCCCCTTTTTAATTGGGAATTCGGGTATCAAACCCATTAATGATTATTTATTACATTCCTATTCTTTTCCGAATGCCAGTCCTAAAAAAACTCCACCGCTTGTACGGGCTCCCGTCAATTCCTTTGATCCTCTTCCCCAGGGATCCCCGATGGGAACCTTAGGAGAGCCGTCGACTCCAACTACCGTCCATGTAAATATCAGTATATTTGATTTAAATTCGATAGTCATTTTTTAAGCTTGAAAACTCGTGAATAGTTAAAAAATTAAACTTGACTTAAATTTGAACACAATTTTTTAAACTCAAACTCAAGCTCAAATTCGTTTGAAGTTCGAACCAAACTCGAACTCCTACTCAAATCAAGCTCGGCCGTCAAAATTTATGAAATTTTAGTGTATTCTATTATAAATTATAGAACTTAAAGATATTCTCTTAAATTCTAAAAAACTAAAGCAATGCACTTCAAACTTCATCATTAAAAAGACAAAGTTACAAATTTCATTCACTTTCTTCTCTTTTTATAACAACTTTCCATTCTATTTTACTATCTTTCTTCCAATTAGGGTTGTGCATCAGTCGGGTCGGGTCGGGTCGGACCCGAAAATGGGCAACCCGATCGGGTTTCGGGGTAAGAAGACACAACCCGAAGTATACAATTCGGGTTTCGGGTATTGTCGGGTTCAGATCTAATCGGGTATGGGCGGGTTCGGGTCAGGTTCGGGTGTCCATCTCATATAATCAAGTTCCCAAATTTTTCTTATATAAGAAACAGCCACAAACAGCAACACTAGTTTTGTGCTTCAAGTATATGATCTAAACAGAATATGTTCAAAAATGGAAAGAAAAACAAGACAGATTCTTAAGACAAACCTAGATCCAAGTGGGGCAGCTCCATCTTCCACATTCAAGTAAACTTGTGGATGCCTCCATCTTCCACATTCAAGTAAACTTGTGGATGCACCATTACTGCATAAAAGATCATAGTACAAAACAAAAAGGAAAGAATATGCCACTAATTGGTTCAAATGTCCTTCCATTTAAACGAAGTCAAATAGATGGAAAAAGATTCTTTCTTTACAAGTCAATCCACTAAATTACACTTATACATCAAKAGACAACATATAGTCTAAAAGAAACAGAAGGCCAATGAAAAGAGGTAGATTCAAAATTCAACCCAATCCAGTGTCATGCAAGTCAAAGAAAGTAACCATAATGTTGTGTTGTTTATAGTATCTCTACCTCCCATCACAAACTCTCACTTTGGTCATCTTGTCTTCACATCAATGCATATGTTCTTCACTTAGATCAGTAGTCCTGAAATATTGAGGAAAATTGATAAAGTAACATAAAATAAAACAAGAGGTATATTATCTAGTATGGCTTGTACAAAGAAATAAAATATCTTTCAAAATTCAAAGTGGCCACTTCTACAATATATCATCTAGCTGTAGATCATCTACATCAACAGCTGGAACCGGAAGAGAATCCTCTTGGTCATTGCCAGAACTTAAACTTCTAATTCTCATATTCATCATGTCTGCGTTTATAGAAGTATGTAAATTTAATATATAAATATACATATTAAAGTTGAAAAGGTATACTAAAATACTAAATACGTAAATAATGTCGTACCTTTCTCAAACTTTTCAATATCAGCTATGTTTTCTTCAACTGCAATTGGCTGACTAGGGCCTCTTAGCCAGTCTTGTGTACATATTAGAGCTTCTACCATTTTAGGAGATAGAGAACTCCTAAAATTATCCAAGACCCGACCACTAGTACTAAAAGTAGACTCAGATGCCACAGTTGAAATTGGAACAGCAAGCACATCTCTAGCCATTTTTAAAGAATAGGAAACCTTTCACTATTAACCTTCCACTATCTTAAAATATCAAAATCGTTTGCCTCATATATGGTCGACTCACTTAGATAAAGTTCAAGTTCATTCTTCTTGTTGAGTGAAGCCCCACTTTCCATCTTTTGTTTCTTAAGTTGACTCTTTAATCTAGATTGTACCCTTCCAACGGGAACATTCTCACACTTAGTGGGTGGAGGAGGCATCATAGTGGTAGAAGGTTCGGAATATGTTGACACATACTCTTGAAACAACATATCTAATTTAGACTTTACCTTTTCAAAACATAACTTACCTTGATCCTCACCATACATTTGATTGAGCTGGACTTGCATGTACTCAACCTTGTCTCTAGGGTCCAATATATTGCCAAAAAATATGATGAAGTTCATCTTATCTGGATCACCCCAATATTTACTGAACTTCTCTTTCATTTTAATACCCATTTCCTGTTCACAAATCAAAAACAAAAAGTTAGTAAACATCCAAATATAAGTAAATAGTAAAGGTAATATTAAAGGAAGATAAACATACCTCTTCAACTTTCGACGTAGATTGTAACATATCGGCAATAATGCAACTCAAATCTAAAATCTCGGTTAAGAGAGAATTTGAGGTGACATAAAGTGAGCCAGATATCCTAATTGTCATATCATAAAATGACTTCAAAAATATGACCAAACTGTCAACCTGTAACCAATCAAGATAGGAAGGCATCGAATCACCCAAATCCAAATGTAACACGGTGTCACTACTCTCATACGTTTCAAAAACTTGTCTGTAACCTATTGCGGTTCGAAGCATTATATAGGTGGAGTTCCATCTAGTTGGAACGTCAAGACATAATGAACTTTTCTCTTCCACTTCAAGCAAATCTGCAAGTTCTCTAAACTTCTTCAACCTAGATGGAGAACCCCTCACCCACCTAATGCAATCCCTAATCTTTTTAACTGATGAATCTGCTAATTTCAATCCATCTTGAACAACCAAATTAAGAATATGAGCAATGCATCTCATATGTATGTANCAATCCCTAATCTTTTTAACTGATGAATCTGCTAATTTCAATCCATCTTGAACAACCAAATTAAGAATATGAGCAATGCATCTCATATGTATGTATTCTGCCCTAATAGAAGAACCACCCCAATTCACCACCTTCTTCATCATGAACCCAACGGGCCAACGGCAATGTCATTGCTTGATGCATTATCAACTGTGATGGTGAAAATATTTTTTATTCCCCAATCAAGCAAACAACTCTCTATGGCCTTAGCTATACTTTCCCCTTTATGTGAATATATAGGCACAAATGAGATGACCTTTTTATTTAATTTCCACTCATCATCAATAAAATGTGCAATGACACACATATAATTGATTCTTTAGACAGATGTCCACGTATCAGTGGTCAAACTAATCCGCTGCGTGCTTGACTTAAACAATTTCTTAAGGTTGGTTTTCTCTTCAAAGTAAATACTGAATATATCCCTATTAACTGTCCATCTATAAGGGATCTTAAATCTAGGGCATGCAGCCTCAACAAACTGTTTAAAACCTCTCCCTTCAACAAACCTAAATGGAAGTTCATCCATTATAATCATTTTCGCTAACATCTTTCGAACAACCTCTTGGTTAAAAACCCAAGAGGTCAAAGCACCATCACTATTCTCATATTTTGCAGATTGAAATGCAAGAATTGACTGCTTTGTTTTCTTAGCATGTGGAATATTTAAACAAGCTTTCATGTGGTTATTTAAAGAGGAAGTACCATGCTTTTTAGCCTCAGCTGCATATATTTTTGAATAATATAAGCACTTACCTTTAATGACTACCCCATCCTCGTTTAAAATCTTCTCAAAATGGTCCCAAACTTGAGATCTGGATTCTAATGTTTTCCTTTTTCTTGTACTTTCCGGAATAGATTGACTTACGGTAGGATTAGATTGTGAAGGAGGAGCTTGATGATGACTGTTACTTCCGGACTGAGACGTGCTAATTTTTTCCATCTACAATTGTAAACAATCTAAAAATATATCAATATGCTAGAAGGCAAAGGTATGCCAATTTCTGTCACTGATATCTTCGCAAACAAAAGTAGGCAAAGGTATGCCAATTTCTTCACCATTAAGATGGTGATACAGGTTAGAAATAAGGTGAAGTTTATCACTAATAACAGTTTGGCATCTGTTTATGTTATTATATATGTAACAAAAGGGCATATATTTCATTAATTAGACAAGACACAAACATAATCAACAGTCTTGTCCACTTATATAGAAGAAACTTGGTAAGGACCTTTTGATATAACAATTTGCATATATACAAAGTTACAAGTACAATTTGCATATGACTTAACATGCCCAGATAATATTTGCAGGTTGATGATTGACTATAAGATAAATATAATGTCTTTGTACACAAAGACTGAATGGAATTATCATAAATTCTGAGTTTCTGACCCATTATCATATCTGATGGGTCACAAATATAATGCCTTTGTACACAAGGACCTTTCTGAATTATCAGAAAGGGAAAATATATTTCATTAATTTGATATCCCTTACTTCCATTTAGACTTTAGAGCAATTAACAATTGAAACTAGTAACTAGTAAGGAAATAATGAGAGTTCCTTTTTACATTTAGAGACTTAGAGCAATTAACATTTAACAATGTGGGGAACTGGGGATAATCGAATAAGAGTAGGAGTCTAGGAGATGGAGAACTGGAGAAGGGCCTTACACTTGCAGTCAATCGTCGATAGCAGCGTCGGCTAGCAGAGTCGGAGAACTGGGGACTTCGGCCTTTGGGTATGGTCGCCGGCCAGCAGAGTCGGAGTCGGACAGCGAACAACAGCGTCGGGTGCAGCAGCGTCGGGTGCAGCAGAGTCGGGTGCAGTCTTAGTCTCGCCTCACTATCACGATTCACTACTGATAAGCCCAAATTTATACATTTTTTACGTCAAAGTACCTTAAGATTAATGTCAATTAGATGCCTAAAATGTCCATTTTAATTTAAGATGATATTTAATCTTATGAGGCCATTTAAGTTGAGAAAAAAAAAAGAGAAAATTTATTGTTGTGTTTCTGGTCTCATCATTTTCTAGGTCCAAAACAGCAGCCCGTGAAAAAAAGAAAAGAGGAAGAAACAGCAGCCAAACAGCTGCTGGTACATCAAAAAACACAGCCAAACAGCAAGCTGTCTCCAAACACTTGATGCTGCCAAACAATTTGTGTCTCCAAACAGCAGCCAAGCTGCATCCAAACAGCCCTGTTCAGCCCAAAAGCAAGGCCCAAACAGAAAAGCCCAAGCAGCAGCCTTGCATACCAGAAACAGAGCGAGAGAAGCGAGAGAGAGATCGTGCAGAGGAGATCATGGGCGAGCACGAGCTGTCGATCGAGGGGGCTGTCGGTACAGAAGCAACCGAGAGAGGGACAGCATACAGAGGCTGTCGATTGAGAGGAAAAAGGGGGCTGTTCATAAGCGAGGCAGCAGAGCCGGTCGATTACGGGAGGCCGAGAGCAAAACAGCAAGGTGCTGTCGATCGAGCAGTCGAGCAGGAGGGCAGTCGTTCGAGAGGGAAATCGAGGGATCGAGAGGAGCTGTGAATTGAAGAAAGGGATCGATAGAGGCTGTGGGAGAAAGGGGACAGCAAAGGGGCTGTCATCGAGCAGCCGAGAAAAAGAAGAAGCTGTGTAAAAGGGGCTGTCGCGAAGGAAATTCAGAGAGGGGAGAAGCAGCAGCCGACTGTCGTTTGAGAGAAAAAGAGACTACAAGGGCTGTCAATATAGAGGCTGTGATAGAGGCGGAGCAGTCGGTCGAGGACAGGTACGAACCAAAATTCGAAAAGCAACAGTAAACAAATTTTAGAAGTCGATTTTGGATTTCTTAAATTAAGGTTCTTCCTAGTCTATTGTTTTCTCCCAAGTTCAATTTCTGATTAATAGAATTATGAGTTGCTAGTTTCCTGTTTCTAGTGATGAGATAATAGTTAGTTTGAATTGAACTTTGTTGAGACTTGTTTAACATTGAGCCTTAATTGAATTTTATTTGCACAATTCTTGTTCAGAGTCGTTCTTTCATTTTTGGGATTTTGGTTTTGAGAAGGATCCCTTGAATCCTTTAGCCTAAATTTGAATTGCTAGTTGTGATTAAGAATCCGTAATTGTTCTTAATTTCCACTTGGTAGCAAATAGTGCATCAATAGACAA